TCTCTCTCTCTCTCTCTCTCTCTCTCTCTCTCTCTCTCTCTCTCTCTGCTCCCCTTTACCAGCTGATTATGTGCATTCTGTCCCTTTAGGCCTGCACATAAATATAGCCAGGGTCAGGGGAGCTAGACTCCAGAGGTTAACTCCACAGGGTTATCTGTCCCACCAGCCTGAAACTGCCGGTGGTTTGTAAGGTTGGCCTGAGGGTCCACTTCTCCTCAGCAGCTCACCCAATGGGTCTTCTCAGGGCCCTACCCAAACTAAAGCCTTGAGAATGCTTTGTAGAAGGCTATTTAGCAGGCAAATAGGGGTCAAGTGAACAAACAGAAAGATGGACAGATAGGCTGAAACCCAGACCCAGTCCCAGGGCACAGCAAAGACTCTTGTGGGCAAGGGATTCCTCCACTGGCCAAGAGAACAGCCACAGCCACAGGTCCTCCCTCATTAGGCAAAGTTCAAATCCTATTCTCCCAGACAGGAACTGTGCTGCCTGGGTTAGGGCACTAAAGATGCATACATACATACATACACACACACACACACACACATGCACGCACGCACACGGTTTTCTTCCTCTGTAGCTCTGGACTGTCCTGGAAGTCGCTTTGTACACCAGGTTGGCCAGATCTGCCTGCATCCGCCTCCTGAGTTCTAGGACTAAAGGCGTGCACCACCGTGCTGGACTAGGACACTAAGCTTCTTGAAACACCAGTTTTCTCTCAGGTGAATCAGACAGATGGCTATAGTCCAACCTTCTCTGTGAGCCCTAGCTGCAGACACAGAAGCAGTCTGTTCCCGAGTAATATGTAGCTGGAATGTGTGTCCATTAGGAAGCAATTCAGAGTGAGCCTCACTCTACCAAACACGACCCACTGTAGATGCCAGGCTCCAGACTAGCTTGACTCAGGCTTCTCCTTCAAGCTGCACCCCACCCTCCAAATGTCGGCCACTCCCAAGTATACAGGCTCTTGGCTTCAGAAGCCCATTTCATCTGACCTCTTTCTGAGGACATAACCCATCCAGCTACGTCTTATAACAGAGGCCAGAAGAAGAAAGAGCAAGAAGACCCTGCAGTCACCCACAGTGGTCCAAGCAGCCCTACTTATGGTAACTTCAGGGACTAGTGACTTCAGAGTTATATTAGAATGTGCCAGAGTCAGGCTGAGCCAGGAACCAATTGCCATCCAGGCAGAGGATTAACAACCCTGATCAGCAAAGGAATGGTCAGGGGGAAATGCAAGGAGGTAGTGGCCATGTGGCCTGTACATCAAAGCCATCCTGACTGTCTCAGGGCCACTTCACTGTAGCCTGCTTATGCTTCTGGCTAGGGTCTAATGGCTCTGGCTGTGGTGCCCTCTGCAGCTCCCCGCCCCTGCCTGGGATGACTCAGTACCCTTAAGGGAGACTCAGGAGTCTGGCACCAAGTCATGCTCAAGGATGCCTGCTGTGAGGACGACCCTCCCACTACCTCAGGGGATCCCCAAACACCCAGGTGGGCTCCTGCCTCCCCCACTGCCACTATTTTCAAGGCATCCTTCAGCCCGCCTGTGGAAAGTGACATCTGTGGGCCTCTTTTTCTACACCAGCTCTGAGCCTCCACCCTCTTTCCAGAGATCTCCCCCTCACCCCCGGTGTTTCTGGGCAGCTCAGCTATGTCAGGGACCTATCCAACCCAGCACCATCCCTGTTCTGTTATTCATCCACTGTTCCCATCACAGAGATGGGAACTCCATTTCCCTAGTTTTCATAGGGCCTGGGCCAGAAAGGCAAGAGCCAAAGGGATTGTTTCCCCTCTCTCCCTCTCTTTCATCGCCCTCCCCTCCACCTCCTTCAGTACTCACTCTCTGCTCTGGCTGCATCCCACTACTTCAAGCTTTGCAAACTGCAGGCTCTGTGTCACCAGGCCTTTGCACAAGCTGCTCCTTCTGCCAGGAACACACCTCCCTTGGCTTCACTGCCTGAAGACCAGTTCAGACATCACCTCCTTTGAGAAGCGTCTTTGATCTACCCCACTGCTGGCTGGCTGAGCTCACTAAGTTAAGCACCTTAAACAGCACAGATCTGGGGATAAAATAGCCAGGTTCTGACCTCCACTGTTTTTTCACTACTTCCGGAGGTCTCCCTATCCCAGATTAATATCCCACCCCTCTCTCCACACCAGTTGCTAACGGGAAGATTTCTAACATGCAGCTATGTTTGGAGTTTGCCTCTAGTGTGAGTCTGGGGAACAGACAGACACACTGACTCCTGGCATGCAAATCCAGAGTCATGTGTTTCTGCTACAACTATTCACCGGGTATCTGCTATATAGGTACTAGGAGGTAAACTGGTAAACCCAAAAGACAAAGTCCCCGCTCTTACCATTTGCTTTCCAGTAGAGTTATGAAGCAACAAATAAGAATGCTAGCAATAAATACATAATGGGCGCCATGGGATGCCCTGGGAGGACAGCTACTGCAACAAGACAAGGCAGGAGTAAGATGTAGTGCAGAAACAGTTTGTATGCCATGTAAGCTCAAAGCAGCTTCGAAAGAAGAAAGGCAGTAGACAGTGTGGACACTTGGAGAAGAGCATCTCGAGTCAGAGGGATTGGCCTATACGTGCAAGTGCCATGAGGTGGGAAGGTGCTTGCTCTGTATGAAGACCAGCCCGGCAGATATAGCTGCAGTGGAAAGTTCCTTAATGAGGGTGTGCATCTGGAGAGAAGCTAAGGTCCACTTACACTGGCCTCCCAAGGTGTTTTCCTGGAGGAGGTGACACTGTGACCACTAAGCAGGATTCCGAAGGGAGAAGTGGGAATTCATCCTGTGCCTAAGAGTGACCCCTTCCCAGCATAGTAGTGGGACTCAGGCTTGGTTTAGGGTTTGTGAACAGAAACCAGAGACCTCCAACGCCAAAGGAGCCAAAGGAGAGAAGCAATTCAGTTGGAGGGTTAAAATAAGCCCCAGTCCTGGTGTGAGGACTAAGCATGAGGAACCAAGGAGCAGGTAGTAGGGTCTAGAACAGTCTGACCCACCGTGTATATTGGACGGAAGAGGTAGGGATGCGCACAAGACCCAGCCCTCTTCCTTTTCCCTGGGATTTTCAAGGACACAGCTGTGTGCTTCTCTCACACCCTGAACCTGGCCAAGGCAAAGAGAGGCGCTCACTGGGACACAGTCCTGGGACCCAAGGCATGTGACAGTGAGCTCTGCTCATTCTAACACCCTCAAGACAGGCACACACCCCTTCCCTGACAGATGTAACCCTTGTCCTCGTGACCCGTGCTCACACACCACTCCATCCTGAAACGCATCCCCCAAGTACACAGGCACACTCTTGTGTCCACGTGACGCACGCACACCCGCCTCCAAACACCACACACAGCTCCCCGCGCACGTGTGCACCCTCGGAGCACCAATCCTGTACCCACCAGACCCAGAAACCACAGCGCCGCCTCCGTCACCCTCACCCAGCCAGGGGACGACTGCGCAGCAGCTGAAGTCGCTCGCCGCATCCGTCCCATTCATCACCCCGCCCCCAGCTCTCCACGGAAGACTCACGGGAGGGCCGTGGGAGAAGCGCTCCGCTGAGATCCACACGTGGGTGCACCGGTCCAGGCCCACTCTGAATAGACACGGCCTCCACCCAGAGCTGGGGCCCAAGGCACCGCGCGCGGGGCTTCTATGCAGTCCCGCAGACAGCAGCTGCGGAAGGGACGCAGGTGGCACCCACATAGCTGGCTTAGACAGAGATGCAGGCTCGGGGAGCCACCCCGAGGACCTGGCCCTGCAGACACAGCGAGAATCGCTGCACGCCCGGTTCCGGCAGCCCACGTAGACGCGGCCTCTCAGACCACCCCTCTACAGCACGCTGGCTGCACAGGACGGCTCAGCCGTCCGCACCCCAGTTCCCAACTCCAAGTCCCGGCCGCTGACCCCTACCTAGGCACCTGGCGACAGTCTCTGCGTTGGGCGCCAGGCTCGCTCCCGCTGTGCGCGCCCCGCCCTGCCCGCCTCGCCGGGCTAGGATCGCCCGGCTCAACCCGCCGGCGCCGCAGCTCCTGGAGGCTCTCTCTCCCCCGCCCGCCGCCGCGCCGGCCGGCGATCATTGGCTGTGCCGTGCAGCGCCCCGCAGAGATGTCCAATCAGAGTCCGGTCCTCCCGCCCAGGGGGTGGAGGGGGGCGGGTCTCGACGGGATCCGGAGGCGGCGGCTCGGGAGGGGCCCTGCGGATGGGCCCCGACGCGTCACGCCCCCGGCGCCCGCAGACTAGCAGGCTAGGGGAACCCGACGTCCCTCAGGCCACATCGTGGGCCCCTCAGCCTGGCCTGAAGCGTACGACGCTTTTGCCGAGTCCTCAATCCGGTTGGTATCCTAGTCTGTAGAAGCAAGAGCATCCCTCCCTCGGGATGAGGCCCGGTGCGTACCAAGGAGAGGCTAGGCGAAGGCCCTGGGAGAAGGGCCTGGAGTTGAGTGTTCTCCTGGGGTTGGGGGAGGAAAGGAGAAGGGAGATTCGTCTAGAGTGCTGAAGAGGGAAGGCACTCAGGTTTGGAGATGAGCGGAAGGCAACTGGCCCCTGGCTGGGTCAAGGAAACGGATGGAAAAGAGCCCTCCAGAACCAAATGGACTTGATTGTGGTTGTGCCTGGGGACTTCGGCCCTCACAGACTCTTGGTTCGGTCCTGCTGTTATTAGTCTATTGGAGATCCCCCACATCACTGCTTGCCTCAAACCCAGACCCAGGTTGCTATCTCCAACCTGATCTCACCTGTGTCTCTGTCTCAAATAGGAGTCAGAAACCAGGAGTTACCTGTGTAGCAGGTTTTCTGACCCAACCAGTGTAGCACAAGAATCTGCCATACTGCCTCTTAAGATCCCTAAAGCCTATCTCTCTCTCTCCACCTCCGTCCCCTCCCTGAACTGGACCACCACAGTTGTGCCTCCACTTGATTTGTGCAGCAGCCCCACCCCAATCCAGTATCACTTCCTTTCTGGGGCAAGCAGGACAGGCTTTATAAACACCAGACAGCTGCCTCCTAGGATCTTCCATTGCTCCCCGCTAGGTCCCCTCAAGCCCTCTATGACTCACTCCTCACCACTGGCCTGCCTAAACCCCATTTGTCTTTTGGGACTCAGTTCAATGCCTCTGCTGCTAGGAAGCCTTCCCCATGACCTTCTGGATACCCAGAATGGCCAGCAGCCCCTTCTCAGTGTTTCCCAGATCTCAGCACCTCTTCACCTAAGCCTCATCTGAACTAGGAACTTTTGAGAGCAAGGGTTATGAATTTGTCCAGCACAGCCTGACCTCCTGATGAGTGCCCAGCATATATCTGTTGAATGACTAACTAATTGTGTCCAGCAACTGGAGGACTGGATCTATGGGGCAGGAATTCATGAAAGAGCTGGGCTACAGAGACATTTTTCCCCTAGTTTTGAAGACTGAACCCAGGGCTTCCTGCATTCTAAGCAAGTGTGCTACCACTGAGCTATACCCCAATATCAAAGAGACAGTTTTGAGAGTCCTCAAGGACCCACAGTCTTAAGTAGAACCGTGGAAAGTCTCAAACAGATCAACTGAAACAAGGCTGAGAGGACTGAGTGGTCTTTTAGCTAAAATCCTTGTCTCAGGTAGGATCAGAATTAAGACCTAGGCAACAACAACAGCAAATCTTACATGTAAACCTTGAAAAACAGTTCTGGGCTGGTATGATAGCTCTGTTCCACAAAAACGTTTGAGATGTGGCTCCCTCCACCCTTGCTCGGCACCAGGAAGCCCTGGCCTTGTCCTCGTGGTTCTGAACAGGGCCCAGAGCCCCGGTTATCACATATGCACACCAGGTTTTGGAATGGAGAAAAGTAACAGAGGATCAATACTAACTTTTTCTTTTAAATTTTTTTTATTTTATGTGAATGAATGTTTTGCCTACATGTGTGTATATGTGCATCTGTGTGTGCTTATGGATGGTTGCGAGCCACCATGTGGGTGCTGGAAATTGAACCTGAGTCTGCAAGAACAGCACGTGCTCTTAACCACTGAGCCATCTCTCTACCCCAATACTAGCTCTTTTAAAGAAAGTGCCACAGAACATTCCCTGTACACCCACTAACTCAAATTTTGTCACATAACCAGACCCAGTTTCAAGAGCTAAAACATTAAAAGGTGATGGGGAGTGGTGGTACATCCCTTTAATCCCAACACTCAGGAGGCAGAGGCAGGTGGATCTCCAAGTTCAAGGCCAGCCTGGTCTATAAAGTGAGTTCCAGAATAGCCATGGCTACATAGAGAAACCCTATTTCAAAAACAAAATCAAACAAACAAACAAACAAACAAAAAATCCACCACCACCGCCAACAACAAAAGGCCACACATGGAAATGCACTCTCTATTACAGGCAGCCAAATGTCCAACCAAGGAGCAAGGGTTATAGCACCAAGAAGACTCTGTGTGTATGTGTGTGTGTGTGTGTGTGTGTGTGTGTGTGTGTTTTCCAGAGACAATGAGCAATAGTGTGTACCAGGCACTATTGTGGGCACTCTCTTTCCTCAACCCTTGTAAGTGACCTTGGCAAGGGCATCTGGAAGTGATGGGGGTGGAGGCCAGTTACTGAGAAGAGCAAACTGGTCTTTCGGGAAGGGTGGCAATAAAGAGGGAGTAGGCTGCTCTGCAGGACAACATGAGCCAGAGAAGGAGGCAAGAGAGGAAAACACGCAGGGCACAGGGCAAGAGAGAGGAGGCCTCCTTGGCCTCGGGTGGTTGGATACTTTTTTTTCTTCCATGCAGGGGGAAAGGAGCAGTAGGCACAGGCTTTGGGGACTGGAAAAGAGGAGGATGGAAGGTTCTTGGCTGGGGAAGCTGGCAGAAGGCCAAGGCCAAGGTCTGAGAGAACAACTGGTCCATGCTGTCCACTCTGCTAGCCACTACATATAAAATAGCTACATACAGCTATTTTAGTGAATTAAAAGTAAATCAGAACTGGGTATAGTGCTGAATATTTGTGATCTTAGCATTTGAGAGGCTGAGGCAAGAGGATCATGTGTTTAAAATCACCCCACATAACCATGTCACATAACAAGGTACTGTTTAAAAAAAAAAAAACTAAAAGGTAAAATGACTGCAGGCGCTCATTGGCTACCCTTGGCATGTGACCACCATATTGGACAGTACAGATCCATCACTACGAGTAGTCATGCTGGACAGACTGATCTAGACAGCGTAGGGGTGGGGGTACTCAGAACCTCTGGTTGGATGTGAGCCCAGGCTGGAGGGTGTGCCTATGTGACCTTCTCCACTCTCCAGCTACAAGCCTCATGTCTGTGGAAGTGTCCCCAAATCCCTGCGACAACAAGGCCCTCCCACACCATGTTTCCCAAAGCTGTTTCTGGTGAACTTAACTGCCCACACAGCCAGAACAGCTTGCCCCTCGGCATTCAGCAGAGCGCTGGTGCCCTGTCCTGTGCAGAGACAGGGCTCAGGGACTGCTGTAGGCTCACTGGCTCAGCTGGGCCTGGGCATCCCTCACCAGCTTTCCCTCAGGGATCTCAGCTGCTTAGCACAGCTGTGCATCTCACAGGCAAGCACACCAAACTTCAGACAGGCTTGAAAGGAAAGCAAGAAACAGAGCCATTTGTCCTCATTCTTTTTATTGTGTCTCAACCCTTGCCTCTTCAGCCCTCATGTTCCAGCCAAGCTGGGCAGGCGGTGGAAGCTGGGAGTGAGCCACAGGCAAGGGGCCAGGATTCATCAGGGTTACATCTCCAGCTGAGGTAGCTGAGTAAGGTTCAGTGGCTAGAAGGGCTGGTCTGGTGTGGCTCCCTCAGGAAGGAACATCGCCCCATGGGGGTGACACTGTATGGAGACCATGTGTCCCTGCCTGGGAGTGTAGGTGTGTTCAGATGTCTGTGCCTGCAGCATCCAAGCTGTTCCAACCCACAGTGGGGATGGAGGGTTGAATGTGTAGGGGGGTGTGCACATGGGGGTTCGTGAATCCCTGTGTGGCACAAGAACAACACTACACTGCTTGCTGTGGGTGTTTGAGACCCTGCTCAGTGCCTACACCTGCCAGTTGGTGCTGGCCCAATGCTGACTGGGAGCTTAAGAGTCAGAAAGCTCTAGGATAGCAATTCTTAAGCCTTGGCTACAAAGTGGCCTAAGTTTAGGAGGAGGTGGGGTGTGTATCAGGCACCCTCACAGTTGATGAGCCTCAAAGGGAATTCCTTTGGAACTTCCTACAATGAAAACATCCCTTGCTGTTCAGTATGGCAGCCACAGGTCAAAAGTATCTCCATAAATAGTACAACCCAGCCATCTTTTTATTACATTTTGATTAATTTAAGTTCAAACTGACACATCTGGCTAGTGGCTAGATTTAGGCATGTGGAAGAGCCCAGATCCAGGCAGGTGAGACTGTGGGGTAGACAGTGACAGCCTGAGCCATAAGCACAAAGCTAGGGTACAGGTGTGTGAGTCCAGCCATATGGACCCAGAGTGGCAGAAACTGGAGGGGGCATCCCTCAGGAGGGGAAGTGTGGAACTGGACCCAGGGCTTTGAATTCCAATGTCTTGCCTGTCTCCACTCTGAACCAGAATCTGAACTGGTATCTGCCTTGCAGGAAAGCCTCCGGGAATGGCCTCAGCCCTGGCTCAGAGCCACCAGCCCTTGCCGGAAGCCTCACACTGAGTCAAGTCTGGAGCTCAAGACTAAGGTCAGGAGGTCCTCATGTTCTCCTGCAGACCCAGAGTGGAGCTGGTGGCCGCAGGGTCATGTTCACCCTGTGTATACAATGTGGGAATGGAAGTCAGGCCCCAGAAGCACTGCCCTGCAGCACCAAGCCCTGCAGGACAGCACCTGCCAACACGAGCACGAGCTTGAGGTCTTTGAAGGGAACTGCTCTAGAAGCTGAAGTTCACTTACCTCCCCAGGCCCCATGTTCTCTGCATACTTGAACTTCTTCTGCTTGTAGTAGTGCCTCTTAGGCAGGA